TAATCCAGACGCAGACGGAAGTTAGGTTCTCAGAACGGCCGCGACTTCTTGCGGATTTATTTACAAACAAATCCTCTTTGCTCTTCCATGGCGGCCTTTCAAACAGGGGACATTGCCGCTTTCCAGACCATTGAAGTGTCTAGTGATGAGAATGGGGCGTTTGTGCTGGCTGCAGAAGAAGATGACAGGAGAGGTGAGGCGAAAATGGCGCGTGTTTTGGGAAATCTTTAAGGAGAAGTGCGGATTTTTAAAGGATCCAGAAGGGATGAATCGGGTGTTTTTTTTTTTTTTTTTAATACCACCGGTACATCAAACTCTATATTGTTAACGCCAGTCACTGCAGTCTTGCAAATGAAAATGTTAACTGGACCAAAGATGAGAAACCATAGAACTGAGATGTCAATCTGAAATCCCTTTGAAGGAAAATTTAAGGTGACAAAGTGTCCTGGTAATTTTTAAAAAATACTTTGGCATAACCAATTGAATCGAATTTGATATTGATAGATTTCTCTTACTCTCTACTATCTAAATATATCAAAATTATTATGCAGAACCCTCCATCCCTTGAACATCAATCTTGGCTTGATAGGAGAATCAGTCACTATAATGTTTAGTGCAGGGGGCGTATCAGCTCAACTCGAACCCAGGTCGACTCATACCCTGGTCAACTAGTAACCTCAGCTGAATCAACTCATAACCTCCACCTGGTAGACTGCACATGCACGTACTCGATATTTGTTTGTTATTAACATAAATATGAATTCATATTAGGCTGGTGTTAGGTTAGGTTGGAAAATGAAAGCCAGTGTAAATGATATGACCACCTCTCACGAAAAATAAAGGTCAAATTCACTAAAAGACTGTACAAGTCCCTACATACAGATACCTATGAAAATCAGGTGGAGTTTACGATTTGACCAGGTGGATGTTACAATTTGACCAGACAGAGATTACGATCTGACCAGGTGGAGGTTACGATTTGACCAGGTGGAGGTTACGAGTTGACCTAGTCGAGGTAACGAGTTGATAAGTGTACGAGCCGACCTGGGTACAAGTTGACTAATACCCAGGCCGACCTCCCCTGCTGCTCTCCTCCTAGAGGTCTTCCACTCCCAACACCTGTAATGGAACACAAAGAATCTTTTGCAAAGTCATGGCAGAAGAGAGCATATGACCAACATGCAGGAGTGCCTGATCCTGAGCCTGTCTGACACTCTGTCCTCCAATGGGCAGGAGTTGAAGGGCAACAGACCTCAAAGGTGGGTCACAGTGGGCAGAGCTCCCTGCATTAGGAAATATTGTAACTGATTCTGCATATATTTTCATATTTTACCTTGCAATATCTCTTTCACCATTCATGCCCTCCCCTGCCATCAGGACCAGGAATTTGGGGGTTCAGAGGGGTTCTGAAACATTATTCCTACATGTTTGTCCCCCCCCCCCTATTAGTGACAATCTTGGCCCTGATAGAATGAAAGGTACCAGGGAAATTATGAGGTAAAATATGGGTATTATACACAAAATCAATCACAATATTGTTGAATAATAGGAGCTGTCTCCCCCCAACCCTCGGCAGGGTAGAGCGGTAGTGCCTGATGCCAAGTCAGTCCGATGTTATACTCTGCTTTACATACATGGACGATTCTTTGTTTTCCTTTGCAGGGGATAAGGGGTGCAGCTCCCTGCATTAGACAATATAGTGATTGATTTTGTGTATATCATTCTTAGTTTATCCTGTAATTTCCCTCAAACCTTTCATGCCCTCCCTGCTATTGAGGCCAAGAATTTTTGAGTTTAGGGGATTCCACAGCATAATACTTACATATTTGTATACTAGCGGATGAGAGGAATCCATCAGTAGTAAAATTATCGTAGTGCAGTTATTCTGTAAAATCACCTTATATTTTACTTTTTAAATATACTTTCCTTTATGATAATCATAATTTCCCAGCCATATTTTTGGCACCATTGCAGTAGACTTACTGATCAGGAATGGTATCTATTATGCATAGAAAACTGGATATTTATGCAGGAATATATTTATATTATTCCTACAGAGACAAAGGTGTGTGTTTCAAGATTCTAAGAGAGCAGTCCTTTTTCTCTCTCTCTCTCTCTCTCTCTCTCTCTCTCTCTCTCTCTCTCTCTCTCTCTCTCTCTCTCTCTCTCTCTCTCTCTCTCTCTCTCTCTCTCTCTCTCTCTCTCTCTCTCTCTCTCTCTCTCTCTCTCTCTCTCTCTCTCTCTCTCTCTCTCTCTCTCTCTCTCTCTCTCTCTCTCTCTCTCTCTCTCTCTCTCTCTCTCTCTCATTGGTCAACATTTGCAGTTGTACTGTAGAATTATTAAAATGCTATTAATTTCTAGCTATTGAAAAACTGATTTCTCATAATGGTATTCATACAGAATATCCTGTGCTGGCGCAGCGGTAAGGTGCTGGTCTAGCAATCTTGCGGACCTGCGTTCAATCCCTCGCCCGGCCAGTGAGTGGTATCCCCGGCCATTCCTTGCACACAGGGGGAGATTCGGGCAAAATAAAACAGACAGTATGTCACAGCAAAGAATATCCATTGTAACAAATGGAATTAAAACTAAATCATTAAATCTTAAATCTAATACACAGAATTCATATATTTAAGAATTCTTGCATGGAAGCCCACATGTATCCCACAAATTGTGCCCAGGTAGTACTGGAGGGTATGGAGCTAAAACAGGGAAATTGTAAAGGAAAATATGAAAGAATTTACTATAATTCTTGAATTTAGTACTATATCTGGCCCTTATATTCAGAGACATCTGGGACACTTATTTTGGTGGAGGTTTGCCACCACAGGGTTTGTAGCAGAGTCCTGATTGGCTTTGAATGGCGTAGATGCCAGACAGCTCAACGATAATTGGCTGTGATGGGAGAGAGCTCAATGGTGATTGGCTGATGAGCATGAGATGTTGGAGCTCTGGGTCCAGCTTTCTATAAAAGGTGTCTGAAGTGTCTCTCACTATTGGTGTAAGTCCCGTCCTCACTTTGGTCCCCATGTCTTCAGTGCTTTTGTATTGCCCAATAGACTACCACTTGTAACAAAGTAATTGTTTATACCCATAGATATGCAGTTGTTGATGCCTTGGTCATGGTGTATATTCTTTAAGGAAAAAATATATTGCACAGTTTAACAGTATTTCCTGACAAGTCTTCAAACTTTTCCTTGCATCTCAATATGGTCGTATGTATTACCTCAAGTCGGTAGTTTTCAACCTTTATTCATGAATATCAATGCATTTTATTTACCATGTCTTTAATAATATGTTTTTATTTTGCTTAATATACACATTGTTTTCTTATTAATCCTATTTAACCCATCACCGACGGGTAAAAATTTTGGCAAGTTTACATATGCAGGGGCTTGTTGCGCCAACCGGCAGTTTCCCCTGTTTGCGCCCGGCTCGATCAGTAGTTTGCGAGCGACATATAGCACCTAAATGCTTTAATTTGCTAAAATTTATAAAAATATTAAAATTTTGAAGGTTTACCTTCACTTTAGGTGCCATTGCCTAAAATCTTTACCATATAAATGAAGCTGCTACTACCGGAGAAAAACAGCCTCCATCCGACGAGCCAGTAGCGTGGGAATGGGCATGACATGATGCCCCCGGCGTTTGGTCCACAACAGCCATGGCATGTATGTACGTGCTACCCGGCGGCAATGGGTTAAATGTGTTGTACCAACCCATTGATCAGTTGCTCACAATCTATACTTTGAAGAAATCAGGAGTAGAGGATACACAAGATTACCATTTATTGACTCTATTTTACATGTAGTTAACATATATATTGTTTCCCATCTCTGCTTACAATTATAATGCATCAGAATAGGCTAAGGAGCATCCAATCATCCTTGTTAAAGTGGTGTTTTGATAAAATTAGACATGTTGCCTTTCAGAAGATCATTAGCAAAATTGTAAGAATCTGAATTTGAATATGAATTTATGCAACATCATTGTCCCTTTCACTGTATTGAAAAAGGCTGGTAGTTGCTGGAAGTTGTTATTTCCATATTTCTTAGTAGATGTTTAAGCTTTTGTAGCTTTTGATTGATAAATTAAAAGACCACACTACAAGTCAAAATATCTGAAAAATTTGATGTAGTTTAGTGATCTCGTTTTTTCCAATGAAGATAATGTAATTATTCATAGAGTTGATATTCCTCTTTCTGAATTTAGGTAAATACTTCCTGATTTGGTATCATACTTATTGCTTGTAATATTTGTTTGTAATATCTCTTTGCTCTTCCCTTTTCATCCTTAATTCAAGACCGTATCTCATGGATTCAGTCTTTTCTTAAAAATAAATTAAAAGACCACACTACAAGTCAAAATATCTGAAAAAATTGTTGTAGTTTAGTGATCTCATTTTTTCCAACGAAGATAATGTAATTATTCATAGAGTTGATATTCCTCTTTCTGAATTTAGGTAAATACTTCATGACTTGGTATCATACTTATTGCTTGTAATATTTGTTTGTAATATATCTTTTCATCCTTAATTCAAGACCGTATCTCATAGATTCAGTCTTTTCTTTCAAGGAAATAGTGGAAATTATCTTGACATAAAGTTTTAGGTGATTTAATAATCACTAAAAGAATATATTGTATCCCCCCTTTTTCTAATCAAAGCTGATTTTATTAATTTAAACCAAAGAACTAAAAAGTATTTCTAGGTATTTTTGGTGAAAATACCAAGAAAGGGTGAAAAAACCTATTTTTGGTCTGTAATCATCAGTAATCCCAGTATATAACAAAGTCATTACAGATACAAACACAAAGGCTGAATCATGGTGTGATTATCTAATGAAGTATTACAAATACTGTATTCAGCCCATTCCCTTACTAATCCTGTGATCTGTATATGGTCCAAAAGAAGGGCATTAGGCTTACATTCTCCCATTTCTCTCAAGCCCAATACCGAGGTCCATATGAAAATAGTGACAATTTCCTTCTGAGCATGGAAATAA